AATATATTGTACACTTAAACTGAAAGAGATTTGTTTTAAGAGGCTATAATAGGTTGTTGGATCCAGGTTGCTCAGTAACTCTGAATAAGTAACTCACACAACACTGCTTCAAAAAACCTGAACCATCTGTTAAGATTTTGAAATTGAGCACTCACAGTCTTGTTAGTGTATTTAAGATTAGAAAGACTCTTCTCAAGTACGCCGTGCTTTTAATGTTTCACTATTATACCTTCAGCTGAGTGGGGACAGTTTCAGGTTTCTTTATAGAACACATATGTACCTTTCTTGTGATCAATATATCATAAAAGATGCCATGTATTGTATACAAACCTTTTGAGCGCTCGTTTTATTTCTACATTTTATTTAACTTATGTCATTGTCCTTAGTTTATACAATAACTAGAAAAAAAACTGAGTATAACATTGCAACTGTTCACATTATTCCCTAACAAATACTCTTATTCATCTTAAAGGTCCCATGTCATGGCCATTTCTACTAATCATAATTCCATTGTTGAGGTCTACTAGAATGCATTTATATTGTTCAATTTTCCAAACTCACATTGGTTTCTCATACAGCATCTCTGTATAGTATGTGTATTCACTCTCTGTCCTAAACGGCTTGTTGGAGCTCCTGCCCCCCCTCCCTGTGAGCCCAGTGGCCGTCTGCGAGACAGCGAGACACACGCAGCCTGGCTGGGAGTGCCCAGGCTCAGTTCCGCGGTGTCTCGCTGTCTTGCCGACCCCTCGAGTGTGTGNAAAAGTTGCCTTTTCCTCGTGTTGTCCCTGGTTTGGCTGTGCTGCCTCCTAGTCCGCCACTATGGTTTGCTGTGCTGCTTGGGGATGCTCAAATCTGCTCCGAGAAAGTAATACGAATGTACGGCTTCCCCACTGACACGGAGCGGTAGGAAAAAATGGCTGGCTCTCAAGTCCAGCAGGAGCAATTTCACGACCACAGCAAACAATATGCTGAGGTTATTATAACCCAAACACTGCATTTTGCACTTTTTCACAAACGAAAACCACCACCCATTGGCAAAGCTAATGTTTTGTTTAATACAAAAAAAAAGGGAAAGCTTGAAAAACACTGAGAGTTGAGACTCAGGGTGGCAGGGTGAGGGTCTCAGTGCAGGTTTCAGGGCTCCATTGAATCCCCCCCTGGTTCCTTGTGCTGAAAGAGGGAGTAACGACAGGAGACAAGGGTTATACCACACCTAATATAGCACACCATTTGGATGAGAAATTGCCTTGGGGAGATAAGGTGTGGTCTTTGTTCCAACTGAAGTTATGGAACGTTATTATTTGTGACGTTTAACAAAGTATGACAAATGGCATCAAGTAACAGATGTGATATGAATTTCTATAAAGTTGTCTCACATTCTTGGTCCATATTTTATATTTCAGTATGTAATGAGTATAACATGTCCAGTAAGTATAAAGTGTTTCGTAATACTGTGTATTCAACCACTATGGTATAGTGTATGGTACTACTGTATGGGTATCCCTAGCTTATTGTTATCTGTAAACGTTCCTAAATCTAACTATTTAGGGATAATCCACTGACATCCTTTAATACACATGTTAATTTTGAATCAGATGTACTGATAAATATCCTAATTAAATCTTTAAACTTCTTCTTACCTTAAAAGTCCGTCACGAACCGTCTATTCATGCTGCAACTTTACAGCTCCTGTAGCCTTGGCGCTAACTTCCGGGGAACGATTGAGAGCTTCTCACGATCTGCCATTGCAGTAAAAAAGTGGTCCATTGGAGTGAACGGAGATGACGGTAACTCTCTCATCCTATATGGCCGCTGCGTGGACACCTTTAAACAAACAGATATATATGTAAAGACCATGTGTCAAACAATATAACTGATTCTCTCTGTTGATACATGTTGGATTATGTATTGTCCGGTCAGGGCCTTTTTATTTACCTGTAACTTGTGGAGTTGTGTTACCAATGCTTACTGTTTATTTTGATACCCATTTGGTAATGCAATTAATAAAAACAACAAGGTTTGGGTTCGTTCTTCAGATGAATGTGGACGTTAACGTGTAAGCTCAATAATGGAAACCTTTCCAGCTCACCAACCATAGGTTGTAATATCTAGTAATCATCTTGAAATATGACATTTGGCATTAAGTGGTAATACCAAACCACTCCCTCGACCTACCCTCCGTGACCGAGTTGAACTCACGTCTGCTAGCTACACTCGACATAAGCCTCAACGGAGGGCTACATACTTGTGCAGTAGGCAATTTAAATTAACCTTAGCGCAAGGCATGACATTCCTACCTATCATACGTAAAAAATATCACTGCTATGTACAGGATGACCCTTATTCAATCAACTCTCAAACAGAAACTGTAATCAATAGCTAAATAACTCCAAACATATTTCATTCGCTTGTAAAGCCTCTTATTTCGTTTTAAACCTGATAGTATAGAGTTCTGAAGTTTTCAACTTGGAGTCTAGATTAGCATATGCTAAACTCCGATGTAATGCTACACATTTCACCTTTTCTACGTCTAAGCCAAGCCGTATTGGATCCTAAGTAAAAGCGTATGACTCGTAGCTGTATCATGATGTTGTGTAACATGCAGTTAATATACGGCAGCGGTTTACTGGAATCTACTCGCTCTCTCTACAGCGCTGCTTCCTGTCGTCACACAGCGGGCGTGGCCTGGTACTGCTTACGTCAGCACCTAGTAGACCGGGTCTCAAGTAGCACCGGCTATGAGCGCTGTACATTAACTGAGTGCTGATTAGCCCACTCCACTCGACACAGCGTCACAGTCGCGTTTGGATATGGACAGGAACTGAATACGGAGCGGGACCCTGCGTGAGAACAGGCAACGGACGGGTTGCAGTATGTAGGCGGTAGCACTGGCGAGAATAAGCTTTAGCGTAGGGCGGCCAATCGAGGGGGTCTCAGACTGGAGACATCACACGGGTGTCAGTGTTCCCAAGCCCTGAACCATATTAGTTTAAAGTTTAAACTAATCATGTATATTAAAATATAGTCGATAGCAGCACCATTACACCCAGATTCTTTAACTTTTATGTGATACCGAATCCAATCAGTACGAGTATTTGACATGCTGTATCGGGAGTTTCTCAGGCTTCCATGCCTGTCCTTAAAACTCTATGTCAGTTGTGTCTTCAGTAATAGTGAGGTCACGCTTACCATGTTTGCGGGCTTATGTGGAATACAGCCATCTTACCGCAGCATCACTTAGCTTGTGCTTCATGAATATTGTAACGAATCACAGAACTGCAGTCGGAAACGAGGGACTTTCAAGTTATTAGACGTAACAACTCTTCTTAGTCTTGCGGATGATCACAAGGTTACAGCGGTAGTTTTCCTTTGTACGCTAACCCCGCACGCTCCATTGTCCGTCACCAACTTCTTCTTCTGCCCGTCTGCTTGACACGCCTCCTATACCAGTCTTCAACTGTGCAGATCTGTGATTCATAAGAGAGGGAGGAGGTGTGTAACAGCCTTAGAATATGCTGTTACTGGGTGACACGGTACGCCCATTTCCTGAAAATGCTCGTACCGCGCACGACCAGCATACCAGCCTCTCCAGTTCACGAGCAAACAGACTTGGCAGGCAGTTTTCGGCTTCCCCGTGTAGAGCTGTAGACGACCTCAGTTATATTCTGCACATGCTCAAGGACATGTTTCTCCATGCAGGGGCCTTCAATATCTGCTTCACACAGGGACGGTGCCCAATTTTTTACTGCTCGAAACAATACCATATATACATCACCTGCTGAGACGTCTGCGGACAGCAGATCTCAGGCCCTCGCCGTGATGAGTGACAGCAGATTTGCCGCCAACCGCCACCTCAGACCAGCACTACTGTACAGTTCGTGATTGGCAGAGAGAGGGATGCCCTGAGTGCCACAGCCTAGCAATCGTAACATAGAGTCGCTTACTACAAAGTTCCTCGCTCATGAGAATAAAATAAAATTCAGCACAAAACACTAGAAATTACACAATGTATTTTTGACTATGAATTTTGGGTGGGACTACCATCCCTTCCAGTGAGACCAGGCCGCCATTGCTGGCTTACAGGTACAGAGGGGTTCACTATAAACTTTAACTCCCACACAAAGTCCTTATACGTACTCGGGGGTCGGTCACAACTTCCCGTGTGACTGCTGCTCGCACCTGGGGCCTGAGTCGGGTGTCCAGGTGCGGCTGCGAGACCTGTGTTCCTGGCCTGGGGAAGCGACTCCTCGTACGGAGCCAAACTGTTCTCTGTGGATACCCAAACTTTTCTCGCTCTCGTGGGTGGCAGCTCGCACCCTGTAGACCAACTACCCACCCACTCCTCCCAGTACTCTGCAGGCGCCAAACACACACTGGCTGCCAGTTTGGGCACCGGCCTTTCTTCGTGGTTGTGTGCTTGTAGACCCAGACCAGCTCCCCGGCCCGGAAATGCTGCCCTCTTGTCCTGGTGTCATAGTTCCGCTTCTGTCCACCTCGTCCAGTCTCAGCTCCATCTCCTTCAGTTCGCCTCCGCGTCTGAACCTCATAGAGTCCCGGGTCTGCTCCGCCTCTGCCTTCCTCGAGGCCTCTCTGTGTTGGGCGTTCTGCTCCATGGTACTCATCTCCGCTATAGCTACGCTTGCCTGCTTATGGGCCTCCTCCAGCTGAGATTTACCAGGTATCCAACTCTGCTTCTGTCCTTTTCAGGTCTTCTAAAGTTTTCGAAGTCTCCAGTTGGGATTGTTCCAGCTTATTCTGGAGCTCGTTGTAACCTTGCTGCAGCGCCTTAGCGTCTCTACCCATCTCGCTGATCCTCTCCTGGTACTTGATGCAGTCCCTCTGCAGCTGCCGGACCTCCAGCTGCTTCTCCCTCGGCAGCTCCTCCAGCTGCCGCTCTCTGCTCTGACTGCCTTCCCTGACCCTCTGAGCGGACCTCAGCTGCTGCTCCAGCTCCCTCTGCTTACCAGACTCTGCTTCGGCTCTCTCTCTCTGTGCTTGCCTCATGCCTCCTCCAGCCTGGCGGCCCGGTCGCTCTCGCTCTGCGCCTCGGCCTCCAACTCGGCCCGCTCCCTTGCCAACCGCTCCACCTCCCGCTGCAGCTCGGTCAAATGCTCCCGGTTGTCCACCGCCTTCTGCTGGTAGTCTGCGATGCTGCCGTTGAGCTGGGCCAGCTGGTTCATCAGACGCTCCTCCAGGTGGTCCTTCTCGGCTTCCAGGCTCCTGAGCAGCTCTTTGGACTGCGCCTCCCTCTTGGCACCCTCCTCCACCAGGCTCCTTTCTCTCTCTTTGCCCTCTTGGAGGCACTTCTCCAGAGAGGCCACAAGGCTCTCCTTCTCTTTACTCTCCTGGAGATCTCGCTCAAGAGAGGCCAGCTCCGCTTTGACTCTAGCCTCCTGTTGCTGCCACAGTTTCCTCTCTGCATTGACAGCTGCTTCCATCTCCCTCATTTTCTCCTCTAATAAAACTGGAACACTTTCAGTCACCTTGGTAACCCATACAGGCTTCTCCTCCTCTCTGCAGCTCCTCACAGCCGGTGGTACCGGCCCTCCGCTGCTCCTCGCTGCCACACTCCACACAATCTCTCTCTCCACAGCCATCTCCAAGGCCACCTGCAAGGACTGTTGATGCTGCAGCTGTACCCCAACCCTCAAGTCCGCAGGGAGGAGAGCCCTGATGAATTGATCACGTGCCAGCTCACTCTGCACTCCGGGTGGCATGTGTGCATATGCCCGCCGCGTCAGGCTCTCCACGTCGTTAGCCAACGCACGCAGCGTCTCTCCAGACTTCCGACAGCGGTTACTCAATTTGTTCCGGAGCAGCTCTGGCGGGAAACACTGTCCAAACCGCCTCTTCAAAGCCCCCGCTAACGCCTCGTAGCTGTGTCTATCCTCAGGGCTAAGCAGCAGCAGACATGACAGAGCCTCATCCGTGAGGCACAAAGCTAGCTGTAGTGCTTTAGTCTCTACTCACCACCCCCCGGCATGTGCAAGCAGTTCAAATTGGGCATGGAAAGCCTCCCAGTCAGCCTTACCCGAGTACTTGGGTGTCTTCACGGACGCAGCGGCTGCTACCGGTTGATGGGCGCCGCCATTGTTGTTTACATCCCGCTTGGTTTTGGCGCGAAACGCCGCTGAAGATGGCGACATTCCCGCGTCTCTAGCCATCATCACCGCCGACTCCCTCAGGCGCTCTCTCGCCTCCCGTGCCTTCACAAACTCCCCACTCATGTCCTTCGACCACCCGCCTGCTCCTTCTTCCTCTCCATCCCTACTTTCCTGCTTCACTCCCATCTCGCTGAACTTTTCCATCTCCGCTAGCTTACCTGCTAGCTCCGTGACGCAGTTACGAACACCCGTCCGGATAGACGTCCTCCGTTCGAAAAGTCACTTCTGACACCAATGTAACGTTCACAGATGGAGTCGGAAACAGGCTTCAAGTTATTAGGCTTTAATAACTCTTATTTTCTTAGGATCACAGATTCAGGAACAGCTTGTGATTTCAACCTCACACCCTCTCTGACGCTAACTCCCACACATACCCATATATATAACAGTGTCTACGTCACAACTTCCCCGCCCTCCCCCGTCTGCTCCCCCAACCACAGGACCGCACCTAGACCAGCATCACTGTGCAGCTATGTGATTGGCAGAGAGACGGGGGATGCCTGAGTGACACCCTCAGCATCCTATCAGGGTCGCTACAATAAGAACGATATTACCCCTCCGGGCCCGGTGACACGATGGAATTAAGAGAGTTCAGGCCCTCACTTATATAGAGGTCGGAACATGTCATAAGTAGCCTATTAATAAATGAAAGCATAAATAAATGTAGGAATAAAAACATGATTAAATGAATAAACAGGAATAAATATGATACAGTGTTTTTGGGTAGATTCAGTAAGTGGGCTGTGGCTCAGCTGGAAAGCAGTTGACTCAACCGCAGGGTCCCTGGTTCAAAGACTGGTCAATACGTTTTTTTGGTTTGTTTATACAAGCTACAGCTAAATGTGATAATGTAGTTAATAAATGTATTCTTTGATATGGTTAGCCTTTCTCAGGCTACAACATGGTTAAGTTTACGAATATTATTAAGGAATACAAATCCCTCTTTGCAATGTTTACCAGCCTCCTTGGGCTTTTCAATCACAATCATTAAACTGTTGAGATGTCAAATCTGCCTGTTTTACACACTTTGACCAAAACTTTGGTTTGTGTTCAAATGAAGCCTCATGAGATGAACCCTTTTGGGAACCAATTGGCTGGAAAGCTTCAAAGCTTCACAAGGCTTCATCTCGCCATCACTACCAAACTCCACAGACGTGTCTGTCTGTCTCTGTCTCTCTCTGTCTCTCTCTCTCTCTCATACAGAAAGTTACTGCTAATGCCCTCAAGATGGAGCCAATACTTCATATACTGTATCAGTGACAGTTATTTTTGACTGGACTCAGTTAGGCCAGCAGCTGCCAATATCCTTTGTATATATTATCTATTTATTTCAAAGAGGACAATACAAATACATTAATCTCAGAAAAGAGAAGATATGAATTATGCCAGATTATAGCTAATTTCCATCTGCAGTCCTCAGTGTTTATCTGACCTATAGAGTGATGCATGTATATGTGAATATCAGGGTTCAAGGTTGTAAAGCTGAGGAAATATGCTTTCTCAGGCTTTTATTTAAGTTGTGTAGAGTTTTATGCATCTCATGTTCTATTTCTTAAATGGAGATGTATTAGTGCTCTGTGTATTGAAACAGTGCTAAATTGTTATAATATATGTATTTATACTGTGTATATATATCATTTCTCTTTTTCACATTATAATTCTACAACAGCTTCTTTACAAATCAGAAACCCAAGCTTTAATAGGTTTTTGTTTTTAATCATGTTCTCTCATTGATGTAAATGTATTATATAATACAACCATTTCAATGTATAACATTCAAGAGCAAAGACATAAAATGCAGACACTCCCGCAGGAGTCTCCAGCTTATTAAATTGAACAGCTCAATCTCTATGGAAAATTAAACGTGGAATTTTCCATTTATTTTTACACTTCCAAAGTAATATGATCCAATGGGAGCCATAGTGTAATGGGGTTGGTAGCACAGCCTGCCAGCTGTTGTCCATTAAAAATGCTTTCATGATGAAACCTGAGGACGATGTCTAAAGCCGATTAAAACTCAGGTCTTTACATTTTGGGTGGCGCACACAAATAAACACACTGTGTGTTATAGAAAAAAACATAATCAAGCCATATTCATTTTGCACAGGCATAGAAAAACACAATACAATTATAAAAAATAACTTGTTTGTAAAAATCAATCATGTAAAACTAAGCATATCCCACAAAGGCTAAACGCTTGTTGATTATATACAGTAAATAATACACTGTCCAATGGGAATCAATCGCCCCTTAAAAAAACGATTCAAGTATGCTGTTATTCTACTGCAAATGTATAAATCACCATAGGCTATTAAAGGTGGGGTATAAGTTTGAGAAACCAGCTGGAGATACACTTTTTGCTATATTCCATGGAATGCTCTTAACATCCCGATAGCCGTAGTGCTGTAAAAAGCATGACCAATCATTTTAGCCGGCCCGGCTAAAATAACTGGATGGCCTACCTGCCTGTCAGCCTTCCATCTGTGCACAAACTTATCTTGTGCCCTCATTGGTCATGTGCACGTTCGTGTGTGTTGGAGGAGGGGCTCTGTAAGGAAGTAGTAGATTTCTTCAGGCTGTGTATTTTCAAATTCTAATGCACTCGAGCTGGTTTCTCCAAAATTACCTACCCCACCTTTAAGCACTTGTTTCTAAGTTTGCGGATCTATGACTATGACCCCAAGGTTGTTGTTAAAGATAACTTTGCCGTTGGACTCCATGCTGCAGTCTGGGTGCTGCAGTAACTCCAGGACACCGGCTTTGAGCTCAGGAGAGGCTGTGTTACTGAAGTCCAACACCTCAGTGAGGAAATCAAGCAGCAGCTCTCCCTTCTCATCCCCCTCTGTGAAACACTCGGTGATTTCCATTTGAGAAGGCAGCTCATAGCTCTGGTAGCTCACACCCTTGGAGTCCAGAAAGCTTTTCATGTCTCCAGTGGTGACACACTGACTTATTTCTGTGTTACAGAGCTGGCTCCTGTAGGTCCGCCACAGCTTTCCCCAACCACTCTCACCTGGAAAAGATTACATGAAAGTAGAAATAAGAGTCTACAGCCGAGCTAGCAGCTCTCGAGGCTTTACTCTGGCCTACCAGTGCTTAGAGCTACATGTTAAACTCAGCATGCTAACATGCTCACACTTTTTGAGGTCTTTTTTACTCGAATATAGGCAAGGCGAGTAAACATTTTCATATGTTTGCACGATTAACAAACAAAATGTGTATGTGCTCTTGTCCAATTTTTTTTCTTGACAGTTACTATTTTTACCTTGTTCAACAACTTAGCATGCTAGCATTCTAATTGCGTGGTGCCCTTGAGCAAGAAACTGGACAACCTCCCACCCCCCCACTCCCATTGCTCAATGGGCGCTGTACAATAGCTGCCCTCTGCTCCTACTAGGATGGGTTAAATACAGAGGTCAAATGTCACTGTGTATGCTGTATGCATGTGTGACCATTAAAGAGGGTTTCATAGCTCCAATTCTATCTATCTATCTATCTATCTATGTTTGCTAATTGGCACTAAATATCAAATAAAGCTGAGACTGATGGGAATATCATTAGTTTAGCAGCAAATTGGTCTCAAATGATCACAATTATGATTTGTGTAACAGTGTCAACTCTTAACAAACACTGTATTGATTTTTGTATTGTAAGATGCAAAGATATGTGGCAGAGATAGCACAAAAAGTGTAGTGTTTTGGACTGTGATAAATCATTAGCAGATCCCTCTTTTCTAGATGCTTACAAAAATAAACCTTTTCCACTTAGATGTTATGCATATGGTGGTGTGTTCCTTGTACCCTGACTGTTTTTCTCAAATTATTATTATTTTTTTCAATTCAAGTGATATCTATCACCATGCTGACAGTTTTTGCAATATATTAAGTTGTATCGTGAAAGCAACAATAATTCTTATTTACACATGTAGGGTTTTCTCTTGTTTTCACAACTTCTGATAACAACAGTTATAGTATTTGTTTATTTATATATTTCTAAAATGATTTTGTTCCCTGTATACTGTACTGAATCTATAGAAAATAGGTGTGCTGACTATATACAGCATAACCAACCCTTGCCATCAGAGAGAAGAAAATATAAAAAATGGATAATATGAGATTAAATCCATCCACTCACCAGATACTAGGATGATAAGAAGCTTCCCCTTCTTGTCGAGGAGGCTCTGGAAGAACTCGATGGTAGCTCTAGGATCCTTCACATAGTACAGCATCTGTAGATTTCACCACAGATAATGAGCTGGTAACTGGATTTACATAGCACCTAATTAGAACGCTATGCAACACAGATGTTCTAATGGGATTAATTGCTGTGGAGCGCCGCCAAGTGAATACGACCTAGATGTGTCAAAAATATAGTCTGTGAGCAAGAAGCACACGTCAGCGTCACCGACCTGTATCATGTGAATGAAGTCAGCCTTCTTAGTCATCTTTTTCACTCTCCACTGCTCCTCAAACTCGGAGGAAGTCATCTTGTTCCAGGTAAATTTGATGTAATCTAAATTTGGTTTCTGTGACACCATAACTATATAAAGAGACACAAAACAGAATCAATGTTACTTTGTGTAAAGGAAACATCTTTAAACCACACAGGGAAAGTATAAAATAACTTATGTAGGTCAGAAAAATACTTTTCTGCTACTTCGATATTTTAGTCTCTGCATTTACGACTATAACATTTGCTTGTCACATTGTTGGAAACACATCTTTTTTTGTGATAAGTTTACTATCTTTTTCCATCCAACATTGATTTTTCTTTAAACTACCGATGCGAAGGAGGCAAGCATGGGCAAGTCTTGATATCACAAAAGATTTCAAGACGCTTTAGAAAACACTAATTCTGGTAAAGTTTGGAGTCAACAGACACTTGGCTACAGTAATTGAGCCACCCACAGGAAATAAAATAGTTGTTGGCACTCAATGCAGCAGAGATGGACACAAAAGATAAGAAAGAGGAACTTCAGGATCACAGTTTGTCTACATCTTTTATTAGGATAGCATTTTGAATACATGTGTTTGTGTGAATATTTTGAAGTAGAACTAGTAGAAGTTTTTCTAAACTCCTGGTCAGAGAGCAGCAGAGCTGGTGGGGATTCACAGTTTCTCTCAAAAAGAGATTCTGAAAGGTGGATACTTGCTGACATGAGGGCTAGACTCTGGGGCTGGTGGTCAAAGGACCATCCCCCTGCTACTGTAATACATGTATAACTGTATTACTTATGTATAAGTGGGAAAGCCAAGGGCAGATATATAATGTATTCTCTGCATTGAAATACAACAAATGTGAATATAGCCTTTTTTATGCTGTTAAATTACATATCGGAACACATTTTTGGGGGCATGTGAATATACAGACACAGTATAAATGTGCGGTTTGAGAGATATGTGTGTGCCTATAAGACTGTACCTTTGTACTGATGTAGCTGCATGCTGCTAGGCTCCACCACCTCATTATCCACCGTCACCCCTGGGTGCTTCAGACGGAGCTGGGAGAGCATCTCGAGGTCAATCTCACCTACACAAACCAACAGTTCTTATTTTGAAAAACACCCATTTCTTGATAAAATCTCGACCCATTCTCCCGACAGCAGCCAAACTGTTCAATTATAAAAGTAAACGCATGTCACCACATTGTACTTGTCAGGTATGCAGGAAATTATACATTTTATGTTGTTATAATCTCAGAAAAGCCTAGAGTCAAAGCTCACTAGGATTTTGCCACAGGCAGGTGATTTTGTTCTAGTAGTTATTGAATCTGAAACGTTTCCATGTGCAAGAGTACATCCAAGTAAAGAATCCGATGAGGACAGGCGCTGAATCTTTCTGATTAGATTGAATAATACCTTGCAGGGGAGTTTGTAGACATTCTAATGGATTTTACAGTCCATCACAGAATCTGTACCGCCGCTCCATTATGACACTGACATGACAGCTCAGGTAAATTAAAGGAATTGGATCTGACATAAGTGAAGGATAATAGCACTCATGCACATGTAGTGAGTTTGATCAGGAACAAATTAGACTTGCTGTGTCATGAGCACTGGAAACAAAACACTATTGAGGTCACTCCGTCCACGACCGAGGTTAAAGATTAATCTGACAACCAGGTAGATGGGTTCAAACTCTTACCACTGATAATAAGGGTAAAGGTTTTTAGTGCTGCAGACATAGATGACAGCAGTGCCAAAGGAACTAATGCTGCAGGCTGATTCTACAATGCCTCCTCACCTTCGCTGTCTGCAGCAGAGGTCGCTCAGCTACTAACCGTGTCACACAAAACACAAGATACGTTTGGCACTTAAAGTGTCCTATACTGAGTCTTCTTACCAGCTCCACTTCCAACTCCAATGACATTTAGATGGGACTTTCCATCTCCAATGCTGAGGGGAGAGCAGAAAAGCACTTCTTAAGAACTCAACTTAAAAACTCACAGCTTCATACCTGCCGATTGGGGCTGTAACCGTCAATTCTGCCTGACATCGCGAGATGTTCTTATATAGCATCTGAAGCATCTCCCAGCTCGGGGCTTTCATTCTTCCTAAGAAATGTTCTGTCAATCACCAACTGATTTTAATAACACTATTATCTGTTTTAACTACTTGGGAGTCATATCACTCCAGATATGCTCCCTGCTCTGCGTCACAGAGTTCTCTAAGGCTCAAGCTTATATGAACATAGAACATTTCAAGAAGGGACATTTTATATACACTTCTTGTCATTCACATATGCACACCTTGTTTAGCTATGTACATTTGTTCAATCATTTATTTCGTTTTAGTAAGCATCTCAGTGACAGTAGGCAGGAGCTACTCGTAAAATATGAATATGTTATGTTTGGGGTTCTAAGTTTAGTCATAACAAACTGACACTGCACTGCTTAATTGTTCGTAGCCTTTGCAGCTGAAGTCTTCACACTGCATTTTCTTTAACTTTTTTTGACAGTGTATTTGTTGGAGGTGCATACACTCTTGCAAGCACAAAGTTACTTTTAGTTTAAGGAAAAACAAGTGAAGTATGAGGCTGATCCTCCTTAGTAATAATCAGCCTCTCTGAATCTGTCGTGTTAATCACAATCACTTCTATTTTCCACTAATCTGCCTTCATCTACTAAATAATGCATATTTTCTATGTCTCCCCCCTGGATTGCTCAAAGGTTAAGAACATCTCTCTAGGCTTATGGTAATTGAGTTATCCAGCAACAACATTATCACAACACTTGTATAACAAGTTATACTATATGTTCAGTATGGTTTGACCTTAACAGGATTGTTTAAAGCCAATATTAATGTTTGACAGTTCTGACAATCTAAGAATGATGTACGGGTCAAGCAAAAATGACATAATCAAACATTTTTGAAAACATTTAAAATATGGAAAAATAAACATGTCACTGCCTTCTCTCGACAAATTTGGGGTATTTTTGCACTTTGTTGCATTTTGTACTAACTGATTTTAGAGAGTTAATTAGTTAACTTGACGCAGAAATGTTGGCAAACACTACACTAACTCTAGTATAGAGTACATAAATATATATTGATGTTTTTTATTATACTGTCAATGACAAGGTCTGTGGCTTCACTCATAGAAAGTGTGTGTGTGAGTGTGTGTGGCAGATTACCTTGCCAGTATATCTGGCAGCGTGTTGTGGATGAAGTCCTGCATACACTGATGCTCGGAGGAGCGCTCCAGAAAAAGCTGGAAGGATTTCTGGTACCTGTTATCGTCAATAACCAGACTCTTCAGTGGAGAGGCCATGGCAAATAATCTGACACAAAAACACAAAATATTTCCATTAACAGCTAAGAGGGCCAGAATGTTAATATAATATATCATTCGCATAAGTAAAAGGAGTAATACTACAGTATAGGAACAATAACAGTTAAATAATTAATAATTAAATACAAAAGCATTATCAGATAAATGTACTCAAAGTATTCGTTTGTCATAATGGGCCTTTATAGTGTCATCATATTACTAAGCTAATATTGTTTTTAAGCATCATCATGCAAACAGTAATTAAAGGTTATATATGAAGTTCATGAAGTATATGAAGTATATCAAGTTGGAAATAATTTTAAATACAAGACAAGTCTAACTCCATCCACACAAAATATACAATATTTACCTCTAAAATTGTTTGTACCAAAGTATAAAGTAATGGTGGCCGCCAGGGGCAAATGCGCTAAAAAGCCCAAAACACTTACATCAGGAGAAACTTGATGCACTTTCAAAAACTATGCAAACATAAAAACACAAATGTGCCATAACTCATGCAAATGAAGAAACCTTTGTACCAATGTGACAGCTCATTTGCATGTGTTATGTTTTTTACTTTGCTTCGCATTTCTTTTAAAGGTCCCATGTCATGCTTTTCTGGTTATTACCCGTCCCCTTGTGTGTTAAGTAGCTTTTTCTGCATGTAAACGGTCTGCAAAGTCACAAACCCTCAAAGTACACCCTGTAGCGAGTAAAACTCTAACACAGAAAATACCTGTCTATGCTGCCCCAGAATAGTTTGTATGTCATCTACCTTAAGACTTGTGTGTTTTACTTATGGAAGCAACACTTTAGCTTAGATGTCCGGTACAAGGAGAACTGTCAATGTTCCGGGAGTGCCGTCAATTACTACGCATCTTTCCTTCACCGATTGGAACAGGAATTCAACTATATGCTGACGCCTGACAAGTTACAAAATGTAGTCCTGCTGGAGTATGCTACATACCTACACAACAACGACCGATTGACCATTGCCACACCCACCGCCCAAAAAAAGAAAAAATTAAATATTTCATACTCGCGACAAGACCGGAACTTTCCTGAAAAACCTTTACCACTGAAAGTAACTGCAACCTATAACAGACTGGACATCTACTATTCAGAACACTACTCTCTAATGTTATACTTATAAATTCTTGTACTCGATCTTGCGACTTTATGTTTACATTACCTATTATGATTCTACACTATTATGTTGACTTCTGTTGTAAATCCTTTTGTTATACTTGGAGTTATGAGGATGTTATTACTTTGGACTTAGTAATTGAATAGCTAAAGGATCATCAGGTCATACGTTGTGATATACACGGCTAGTCCGTGCACGAGATCTTGCTGTGTTGATTCTAAATTTCCAGGGAACAGGCTACGGGATAAGATGGCTAGTATTAAGGTAAACAACTCAGATGATTCTTATATAAATGAACAAGTTACAAAGGTTTGAGTGTAACCAAAAAGAGTATGTCGTATAGACACTATCATACACAATAAGTGAGAAAGGATGTGCGGAAAAACCTCGAGGACGTGGGGGAGGGATACTCGGGTGACACGAGACTACAGACAAATACACAATGTTGCCGCAAACAATTATGGTCTTTTCCTGTGTTCATTACTGTTTGTCTCGTCTACGACGGACACCCCAGACCCACGGCCAACGGTCCTGCAACGCCCGAGCGACGCTGCGGGAAACTCCGATTTCCTCGCTGTCACTCGACCTAATGACCCAGCAAGGACCAACGACGCACCCCGACGCTCTTTTTTTTTTTTTGAATCTAAGGTTTATATTGTTGTGAACTGACATTATGTCGGAAATTTTGCTCGTTATTCTGAAATTTCCAGGGTAAAGTACCGGTAAAGATGACTAGTATTAAGGTAACAACTCCAGATGATCTTATGTAAATATAACAAGTTAAAAGGTTTGAGTGTAACCAAAGAGTATGTCGTAGAGACATATCATACACATAAGTGAGAGACAGGATTTTACGAAAAAACTCGAGGACGGGGGGGGCGCCTGAATTGCATTGCCGAGGCGCCTAACCAGGTAAACCCATACCAATCCAGTGGTATGGGTCCTTCTTTTTTTACCTTTTACTTTTTAGAG